AGTTTGAGAGCGTGCCCCTCCCATCTTAAGAGGACTGAGTTGTCCTGGAGGGCAGACCTGAGGTGTCATTGCCCTAGGCAAACTGCTCCCTGCATCCCAGCCATTCTGGCTGGAGCAATCTTGCCTCAGCATCTCCGAAGAGCAAAAGCCGAAAACCTCAGTGGCGTTCATGTTGTGTTAAGTTTGCAGGCGAGCAGTATGTGAGAGCAGTGGAGGTGTGGCAGCCTCCACCTACATTTCAGAAGATGTATGAAAAAGGCTGGGGCACTCAAGTGGAGACCTGCTGCAGGGGTGGAGCCACTGCGGAGGTTATCTATGGAGCAATGTGGAGCAGAAAAGTGGGGTCAGAACCCCGATGGAGAGCCCCCACTGAGGAAATGTCTAGTGGAGCCAGGATGGCAGGATTGCCACCAGGATCCCAGAACTATGGGACTGCTGGCAGTGTGCAGTGCTGGCCTGGAAAAGCCTCACCCACCAGGCAGTTCAATGTTCTGCACTTGGAGGAGCTGTAGGAGCCAGGTTGTCCAAAGCTTTAGGGGTCCAGATGCCCCAGTGGGCTTAACGTTTGCCCTGTTTGGGTTTTGGATTTGTTTGGGGACTGTTTTTCCTTTCTGTTTCTCCCTTCTGGAATGGGAATGTGTACCCAATGTTCGTCCCACTGTATCTTGGAAGTAGATAAACTTGTTTTTGACTCTTTACGGGTTCACGGCTGGAAGGAGACTTTTGCTTTTGGTCTCAGATGAGACTTTGGACTTTGGACTTTTGAGTTGGTGCTGCAACAAGCTAAGACTTTTGGGACTGGGATGGAATGTGTAATGTGTGAATGTAAGGGTCATTTATCCTCGCTAAGGGAACGTCGCAGAAGGTTCTGACCATGTAGATTGTACAGCGAGGACCTTGAAGGGGTGGATTGTTGGGAAAATAGAATAGTTTGGTCAGGGCCCTTGCCTTGGATCCAGTTGGGTGTGGTTCAGCATCCTTTGTAAGCAAATGGTGTGTGTGGTTAGTGCGCATGTGCACCAATGTATCTTTTTAGTTTTGTTGGTATTCTTGTGTTCTTCAGAGTGAGAGAGAGACAGAGAAAGAAAGAGTAGCGAGAGAGAGAGAGAGAGAGAGAGAGAGAGAAGAGTTTTAGTGAAGCAGGTGGGCAGGCATCTGCCTCGGGGGTCCGCCCAGCGCAGCCATGCTTTCCAACCTATAGCTCCAAGGACCTTTTGGCCGGGTTACCTAGCTCATAGACCTGTGTGGAAGGGGTCCGGTGACCCAGCCTGGTGTGTGAAGGGTTTGTGACCCAGTTTGTGAACGGGCTTGAGGGGTCTGGGAGCTCTAGACCCAGCCCTAGGTCAACAATCAGCCCAGTCAGTGCAGGATTACCAGCAGGTAAAAGAGCCTGACAACTGGCGTGGTCACCTAGCTTTACTGCAGGGAAATGATATATATAGTGGTACCTCCTCTCTCAAATGAAAGGATTGGAGTTTTTTATTAATTCAGAGTTTTTCATGACCTTACCTTAGATAATTAACTATTGGATGCTTGGACCTTGACTTGTATAAATGTGGATATAAGCTTTGCTTTTTCTTGGGCCTGCCATGTCTTACAGGTTGTATTGAGTAAATTACTAAGCATCCCTTATGAACTTTTGGTTGAAATGCCTACTAATTTGCACAGATCAATTAATCATAGTATGAAAAGAGAAAATTTTGTAGATGCCCAAGGGATTAATTGCATAAAGTAAATTAAGAAGGGGAGGGATTAAGATATGTAAAGTTATACTATCTTTTTTTAAAAAAAGATCCTTTTATTCCACATTATTTCTGATAATTGCAGGATCTAGAGTAGTTGAGAAGTATGCTGATATGCTAACACCAGTTAGATTATTTTCAAACATGCTTTAAGCGATTTTTTGCACATCAACATCTTTGCTAAAACAAAGCACATCTTTCTGATGGTGTTTATGTTTCAGATTGTTGGAGCTTTTGTTGTTGCGTTGTCACAAATGATTATCCCTAAGTTCACATGATCATGTTTATAGCCTCAACTATAAAGGACCTTCAGGCTGTCTTGTCAGGCTGAGTTTTAAAATTCCAAGCTGAACTGTGAAGACATGACATTTAAGAAATGGGGAGATAAATAGGAGTATATAACTAGAAAAATGTTGCATCCAAAAAGGCTTACATTCCCATAGGAAAGAAAGTCTTGCTTCTATACTTAAAAGGATTGATATTGGAAGGTAGAACAGTCAATACCTTTCCCTCATTAGCTCTTTTTCATTCTTTCCTCCTCCCACCCTTTTTTCTCCTCTTCTCTAAGGTTTACGAATGGCAGACTGTCACTGGAAATCTGTTACAGGACTAAGCAGTTTCACCACTATGCAATTGAATGTACCCAGAAACAGCTGTTATTATTATTATGATTTTCCCGATGAACACTTTTCCACAAATAAAAGCTACTAGATGATATTCATAGTGTTGGAAGGTGGTTGGTTTGGGCAGGACTTGACATTTTAGGATCTGGCTTTCTAATCACTCTCCTTTCAAAATCTTAATTCCACTCTATTATTCTGTAGAAGTTTTCTATGTTTTTTTCTATAGCAACAAGCCGTGGATAAATAGAAGCATTTATGTAATTTGATTTATTAAGGTACTATTTTATACAGTAAAATTCACCCATATTAAGGGTTTGGCTTGACGAATTTTGGTAATGTCAATTGTTTAACCACCACCACTATCAAGATAAAGAAAAGTTCTCTTGTAAAAAATTTCCTCGTGCCCTTTTATGGTTGATCTTCTCCCTTTTCCACTGATCTGCTTTTTGTCATTATGATGTTACCTCTGTGCAGACATTAAATTTTCACTTCTCTTGGGTAAATGCCTAGCAATATGTGGCGCTATGGCAAATGTCGGAATCCTGCTGACATAGCCAATTGTAGAGCTACTAATCCTGTTCGTGAGGCCAATTGTAAAGCTAGGGCTGGGTCTGGAGCTCACAGGCCCCTCAAGCCCATTGTCCAGACTGGGTCACAAACCCTTCACATGCCAGGCTGGGTCCCAGGCCCCTCATACACCAGGCTGGGTCACCAGATCCCTTACACGCAGATCTATGAGCTAGGTAACTGGCAAACAGATCCTTGGAAGCCATAGGTTGGAAAGCATGGGCACTAGTGGCTGCGGTCACCCAGGGCAGCAGTCGGCCAAGGTGGTGGCACCACCAATGCACACTAACTACCCACACACAACTTGCTTACTGAACCACCTCCAACCAGCCCTGAGGCGAGGATAGCCTGATTAAATTATTCTATTTTCCCAACAAAATGGAATTGTGGGGTCATATGGTAAGTGTAGCTTTAATTTTAGAAGAAATTGCCTTATTGTTTTCCAAAGTTACTGCAATTTTTGCATTCTCATCAGCAGTGTATGAGAGTTCCACTTGTTCCACATCCTTTCCAGCACTCAGTATTTTTAACTATAGCCAGTCTAGTGGGTGTGTAGTGATGTCTCATTGTGGTTTTAATTTATATTTCCCTAATAACTAGTCATGTTGAACTTCTTTTCATATATTTATTACCTATCTGTGTACCTTAGTTTGTGAAGTCTCTGTGGAAATCTTTTGCTCATTTTTAATTGGATTGTTTGTCTTCTTGAATTGTAAGAGTTATTTATATATTCTGGATACAAGCTATTTTTTGGCCATATGTTTTGCAAATATTTTGTTCCCTGTCTATTGCTTGTACTTTTGTTTTCTTAACTGTATCTTTCAAATAGTAGCTTTTCCCTGTCTATTGCTTGTACTTTTGTTTTCTTAACTGTATCTTTCAAATAGTAGCTTTTTGTTTCAATGAAGTCCATTTTAGCAATTCTTTTAAAAATAATTTCTGCTTAAGAAATCTTTTTTGGGGGGCCGACCCTGTGGCTAACTCGGGAAAGTGCGGCGCTGGGAGCGCCAAGGCCACGGGTTCAGATCCTATATAGGGATGGCCGGTGTGCTCACTGGCTGAGCACGGTGTGGGCGATACCAAGTCAAGGGTTACGATCCCCTTACTGGTCACAAAAAAAAAAAAAAGAAATCTTTTTTAAAGAAATCTTTGCCTACCCAATGTCACAAATATTTTCTCCCATATTTTCTTCTAAAATTTTAGCTCTTACATTGAGATTTATAATTCATCTAGACTTAATTTTTGAATATGGTATGAGGTTCTTTTTTTTTTTTTTCCATATAGATATTCAGGTGATCCAGCACCGTTTGCTGAAAAGTCGATCTTTTCTCCCATTGAATTATCTGGCACGTTTGTCAAAAATCTATTAATATGGTGAATTACATTAATTGTCTTGCATTCCCAGAATAAAACCCACTGAATCATGATATATTGTCCTAATTATATATTATTGGATTCAATTTGTTAATATTTTATTAAGAATTTTTTGTGTCTACTGGTATTTGTGTATAATGGTCTTTAGTTCTTCTTCTTGTGATATCTTTGACTTATTTTAATGTCAAGGTACTACTCATCTTGTGAGTTGGGATGTGTGCCTCTTCCTCTATTTCTGACAGGGTTTCTTAGGATTGAGATTATTTCTATATTTGTTTTTGAAATACAGAGTTAAACCCAATGTCCGTGATATATGTACTTAGCATCGATATTCACATACTTCCCTGAACCCTTTACATCTCTGGGCTTCATCTAGAATTTTAGTCCAAATGTTGTCACGAATAATTTCCTTCAAGCAAGGAAATACACTGATCCCTTGACTTTTACCAATTAATCTGAAGTGAAAATTTGTATTTCTGCTATTTAGCTTCAGCCTTTTGCAGATTTGGGTGTAAAGTCAAATTTTTGAGTAGTCATTTTCTAAACAATCCATTGAAGTTTGGAAGAGTGAATATATTTATCTCCAAAGGGACTTGCTTTTCTACCAGTCTGCAAGTTCTCCCCAGGAGATTTGGCTCAGGTTGGTTAATAAACACTTTTATGAAACTGATCCTTGTCTAGATGTGAGTCCGCGATGGCTTTTGTGGTCAAGAAGCTTGTATCCTTCTCGTGCTCGCTGCTGGACTGCTTCTCTTTCCTTGTTAGCCACACTGAGCGATGCCTTCCAGCTTCTGTCACCTTCAGCCTCTTTCAGTCAAATCTCTGTGTCCTGTATTGTGATTAGGAGATGACAGTGTGGGTTTCAGAGGCATGTGTGCATATGCTTATACACAATATGGCTCATCAGAAATTTAATCAAATATTTGTGACTTTATTTTTCATATGTGTTCTATTCATTTAAATAACAGCGTAGGCCATGTGACTTGAATGTGGTTAGAATAAACAACTTATCCTTGTCTACCCTCTCACATGGTAATCTTATCTGCCACTGATGACTAGAGCAGATTAAGCAAATGTTCTGTAACATTTGATAAATACCTTACACTTACTGCAAGACATAACAAGAGATGTGAAAGCCTTGTTCCTTAGTGAAATAAAACTGGGTTATTATTCTCATAAACCATTCTCTTCCTTAGGCTTGTAAGCAGGAGTCATTGCTGCTGTGACAAGCATATCTTTTCTCTCCAGAACTAATGAAACACTTGGAAATTTAGAATGAAGATCATTATTTTTGACAAAATGGAAAATGGGATTCGTTACCCAAATAATTTAAGTATTTTTACATTACAAAACAAAGCCACACCTTATCCTCTTTTGGTGAGAGCAGAGTATGTCTTTATATTCAGTTATTTCAGAGCATGCTGTTGAAACTTCAACTTTTCTGCTTCTTGTATTCTTCAATGTCTAACCCAGATCACAGTTCTGGATAAGGGGCCTGCAGCTCCTTACCGGAGTATAGCTGCTCCAGGTGGAGTGCTCAGTGTACTCCTGTGCTCAGTAAATTTTATTAAATGATTTAGACATTAAACAACTGAAACCACTTGACTTTTTTTTAACAGAATCTCCAAAGTGACATTAATAAAAAGAAAAAAGTGAAAGACATTCTACAATAATAGAATAACAGCATTTATTTTTCCACGTGAGTTAAAATGTCAGCAATTATAAGCATTGTGACCAACTGGATGAAAATATTATATCTCCACTCTGAGTAATATCAGTGGGAAGCCAAAAGTGATGAAAATGTATAATAATAAAGTCATTCTATCTGCAAAAGGCAGCTATTTAAAGTATTAATGTTAATCAGGTGGTGCTAAAATGGAATTACAGAAAGAATTTAAGTACTGTACTTAAAATGAACATAACTCTTGCCCAGGCATCCCTTGATTACAACTCTTAAGGAAATGTTATAGAGAGAAGAAATAATAATATCATCAACTCAGAAGATCAGATGGTGTTGGATTATGTTTTAAAGTATTAACTACAGGTGTCCATAATATTAGCTTCATTTTTCTGGGTTCTTAACCCGTCCTGTAGAATTATAATAATTTACAACAGATGCAAATTAGAAGATTACACTGGTAGAGTTCTAACATTCCTTACATTTTCAGTTTTACATCAGTTCCTGATTATCTCCAGGGATGGAGGGAAGCTGGGTTAGAGCATTTAAAGCAGTAAGTCCAAAATCAATTGCATTTGCCTGGAAGATGCAGTTAGGGAGCTCAATTGAAGTACACCCAGGTAATCACTTGTAGACATTCAAACCCCTGGGCCTGACCTTGACTTTGGCCCTTTCCCACTGAAGACTTTGCAGTAGTCAGTCTGTCTGTTTTGTCCGACCCATACCCATGGTGTTGAATTAAAGAATGCACAAATGGACTTCTTCCCTAGGGAAGGCAAGAGACTCACTTCAGAACAGGTAGCCAGTGACGAGGTAGACGTAAAACATCTCATTACCACCGTGTGGATTTTCGCTTAGCTTCTTCTGGTATCCATTTTACTTCCTTTTTATTTTTTTTTTACAGCTGGCTGGTAGGGGGATCTGAACCTGTGACCTGGTGTTATGAGGTTGAGCTCTAACCGACTGAGCTAACCAGCCAGCCCTGGTTTGTACTCCTTAATGGGGTAATAACACTTGCCTTGCCAATGTCAAATATTTTAATGAAAATTAAGTGAGATCATTAACATAAGGTTTTCTTAAATTTAAGCACTATAAAAAACATGATACATAAAAGTTTTTATTTGCTTTTTGAGATAAAAGGTTCTGTATTTTTAGATGAAAGGCACTGTATGAGTTTAAATGCTCATCATGATATATTTCAAGGCTTGCTTAACAATAAAAATACCATAGATTCCTAAAACTGGTGTAGCTTAATTAATCTTTCTTAATTTGACTGATGCTGCCTTATTTTTTTGCACTCATATACATTCCATGATAGGTTTCTTATTTTATATGAATAAACTAGCCTTGTTTTAAGCCAGCACCACCACATCATCACTTAAATGTGAATCTTCAAGTCAAGCCAGTGAAAATATATTCTTTTCGGTAGAAGAATGACCCAACTCCCAGGTAAGGCCAATATCAGAATGGCCTTGTGTGTTCCTCTGCCTGGTGTGTATAGGGGAGCGAAATCAGCAGGCTTTTTATCCCAAGTGTCTCTAAAAAGCTTTTGAAAGATCAGGATTTATGACCCAACTCCCAGGTAAGGCCAATATCAGAATGGCCTTGTGTGTTCCTCTGCCTGGTGTATATAGGGGAGCGAAATCAGCAGGCTTTTTATCCCAAGTGTCCCTAAAAAGCTTTTGAAAGATCAGGATTCCAGGGAGACCTCTTTGCTCTCGGCATCTCGGTTTTCCCCAGGCTGCCTCGGGCTTGCTGTCTGTTTCCTTTCTGCAGGGTAGCAATGAGGTCAGCTCTCTGGGGGTAGGGAACTGGGACGGATGGATGAAGAATGACAGACAGTAGGGAAGAGCTGGGCACTACAAAGGGAAAGGAACTAGGATGTCCTGTCTTTTAGCTGAGTGCCTGTGTCAGTTAATACAATCAACGGACATGTCTGTTTCTAACTTATCCTACGTTTACGCATTGGCCGTTATGCCTGCCGCTCTTCCTTTACCTTGAATCACAGGCATCAACATCTTTCTTTTAAAAAATTGAAACATAAGTGATTGTACATATCTGTGGAATACCACATTGAATATCCATACCTGTGTGCAATATGTGATGCTCAAATGAGCATCTGTATTCTGTATGTTGAATAACATTACACAAGGCTTCAACATTTTAACTCCAATATTTGAGAGGGAGACTGAAAGAGGCTGCAGAGGGGGCACGTGTGTGAGACGTCCAGTGTCTAGACATCGTCCTAATGGTCCTTATCAAAGCCCTGCACCCCCACTCCAACAGACTTGTGAGAAGCACTGGGATTTGTAAAGAAATGGAGGAGCATCTCCCTACCGCTTGACCTTAGGTTTTAAGGCACTTGTGTAATATTGGCAATTGTGGTTTTACGTTTGCATTAACCAAAATGTGTAATACCCACCTCCCACTTTCTCTTCTCCAAGTTCAAGGCTATATTTCTGAATTCGGTGATTTGTATTAAAACCTGGGCTAAGTGGCTTAGTATGGGCAAACATTTCAGATATTTCAGATATTAAGTTCTGGTAGTACTAGAACTAAATATTTGACTATAATAGTAATCAGGACCTGCCGAAGATGGTTTTTTCAGTGCAAACCATTTGCCGTGTTGATTTTCTTTCTCTGTGAAGCGTGTTTGGACTGAACCGCAGGTATCCTGTGGATTGCTTCGCTTCCGCCTGCAGCTCGGTGGGGAGTGGGACCAGCTGGTGTAATGCTTTTGACCTCTTTTAAGGTCTCTGTTTTATACTCTTTTTTTTTTTTTAACTTGATGTTAGCTGTACATAACAAATTTTTCATAGAAAGCTTTTGTTCCTTTAATGTGCAGGGGGCCTCTTGGGGCTCCTTGAAGTACACAATCATTCAGTTCATGGCCCCTGTCCAAAAATATTTCTTAAGTCCATCTATTCTCAAAAGAGCAATACACACATGTACGTATATTTCCTGTAGTTTTACACTTCTGCTTTCTGTAGTTTTATTATTATGTTTAGATAGGATTTTTCTCCTCATATTTAACAGGATGGTTCAAATACACTTGAGTCTTTAGGAAAATTAGTGAAGGGTATAATTTGATAAAGCTTAAAAAAAACAAACAGGAAAAAAATATATTTGTCTTAACCCTAAATTATGGGATTTATTGGAAAGAGAATACTAGCAGTAGAAGCATATGTAGGTAGAATATACAAAGAATTAAATTATCATTATAATACTATGCTTGGTTATAAACAGCTTTTATGTACTTTCAAAATGTACTAATTTAATCTTCTGAGTAACATACATGTAAGTACACAACAAGCTCACTTAATAGTCTACAAATAGTGTGAGTATTTGGTATAGTGGCTTTTGTGAACAGTTCTCTGTGGCTACGTTGTGTAACAGGTTGAATACAAGCCAGTTGTTTCTCAGAAAAGATTATCAATGACTATAAATCCTGATCTTCTTAGATCAAAAGGTATATATCCAACTTGGAAAGAAATTTACTTATAATAAAATCATAATGCCAATTGATGTTAGGTTTTTCCATTGCTAATTACCCAATATCTTAGTCCCTGCAAAATAAAACAACAGCTGAGGGGTTTTTTAAAACTAGAAATATGAACAAACTTAATAATTTCTTCCATTGGCTCTGCAAACTATTCTTAACTACCTCTCCCCTCTTGCTAAATAAATAAACAGAGAAACAAAATGGAGCCCACGACTAGGAGAAAAACCTGGCAATTTCCACTTGAGCTCTGGCTCACATTTTCTGGGTGATCAGAAGAAGCCAGCAATTGTGTTTACATCCCAGCTATCTTCTGGGTAGTAGAAATAAAGTACTATACAATATTAGTGTGAGTTAGAATTAAACTCTTCATGGTAGATTTGTTGTAGTTGAGGATCCTAAATATGACCTTTCAGATGTCAGCCTTTTTTTCATAACTATGGTTTTCATTAGAATATTAATTATATTTTTCATTCCATGCCTGGGTCCCCACTATCCAGCTACTGTATGCTTATAATCTAATCTAATTTTATAATTGGGTTAAGTAAAATATAAAATGGAGAAGATGTACAAATCACAAAATGACTCAATGCTTTGAAATGTATATTAGCTAGAGCCACATGAAATGGCAGATATTTGACTGGTTTTGACCTACAAAAATGGCATTCACTTGGATCACACCTACCAAGACCCCAGTATTTAAGGTTTAAATCAAGAAGCTACCCATTGCATAATTCTGAGGGCACTGAGTGCAGATAAAATCAGCTTGAAGTTCTTAAGATCTAAGCATGTCTAGATAGATAGAAGATATACAGAAATAGAGATAGAGACAGATATGTGCATCTGTGTCTATATCTAGACAGATATCTCACACCCTCCCATGTGCATATATATAGATATTGTTTCGAACCTTTTAAATAGATAGCTTTCTAAAATGAATTAGTACTTTTATAACTTGTTGAAGTGACTAAACCAAAGTATGAACTTTTCTGAATGAATGAGAACATCAGGATGAACATCAGTTCTTCTGCCATGCCTGTCACACCATGATGCCAGTGGGACCTGCTGAGTTGTATTAGGTCTTATTGTTGTCTGCCCAGATTATGGTGCTTTTTAAGCTTCTGTCAGTTTTAACAGATTTTTTAATTTTCTTTACTATTGTTGCGCATCTTCTCTTGGCACTCAAAGAACTTGTAAAGTCCTAACCCACTTACATATGGCTTCTAACATTCTTTGGATTTAGAAAACAGGTCACCAAGCTCATAATATTTTTAGGTAAAATGTAAAAGCAAATAATCTGCAAAGTTGATGGTGTAAGAGTTTCTTCTCTAAGGCATAGTAAAGAAGAGTTTTATTGCTTGACTTTCGTGACTTGTTGGCTTCTAACATTCTTTGGATTTAGAAAACAGGTCACCAAGCTCATAATATTTTTAGGTAAGATGTAAAAGCAAATAATCTGCAAAGTTGATGGTGTAAGAGTTTCTTCTCTAAGGCATAGTAAAGAAGAGTTTTATTGCTTGACTTTCGTGACTTGGCTCATTGATTCTAGTTATGTACCAAATATAGGATATTGTCAGATAAATATTTGTGGATAAGTGAGATGTCACAATAAGGAACCAGCGATGGTAAATCCGATGCAAAGCTAGTGGAAATTACCAATTTATTCAATCATAGTTTGAAATTCCTTTTATTTCTTTTTCACATCAGAATCGTTGAACCCTTGACCATTGACCTTGGGTGGACTTGGCAATTGAGTCTCAGATATTGCAATCATTTTTAGGTTGCCACAATACCATTTAGCTTTTAGTGTAGCACCCAACAGTGTCTATAGTAGTGAAAACTTAGCTGCTTGGATAATTTGGCTCATTATCTGTGTATCTCTCTTATATTCTGTCCCGAAAACAAGTTCCATCATATAAATTAAAGGCAGGGCAGTGTATTCCATAAATTTAGGCTTATTCTTAATTCTAAACTTCGAAGTGAATGTTAAATATTTCAGTCAAAATATTTTTTAAATAACAAAATTGTAAATCAACTTTTGTAAATGGCATTGTAGAAAAATCTTAGTGATTGCAATCTTGAAAAAATGCTTTTTCTATCAACACTACTTTTTCATAATTCCTAACACCATGTTCATTTATGCTCTTGACCATGACATATTAGTATCCATTGATTATAACTCTAACACTTTAAAACTGTATAAATAAAAATGACTTTATTAATTTGTTTGATTTAGAATTAGGTGTTAATTTCTTTGGTTTTCCATTTAAGTACATTTCAAAGCTATATGTGTTTGGCGTATGTTTCAATATAACTGTAATAGAACATAGTAAGGAATATCACTGGTCATTTGGTTCAGAGTCCATTTCCAGTTGATCTGAATCTCTGTGTCTGTGGGAGGGAGAGACATGAAATGCAGTTGAAAAGCTTCCTCTCTCTGTGAGGTAACTAGCACTTCCCCTGGCTTTATTAAAGCTGCGAACTAGGAGTAAGTTTCCATTTTTGAGTCCACATAGTTGGGGCAGTTTGAGAAGGTATGACAGCACTGAGATTAGTTTCCCAGATCGGACGACTTTTAGTGCATCTGCTTACATTGCTTTGCCAACTTCCAATTGGCCAAGTTCCCCCCAAATTCCTTTCATTGCACATTTAATCCCATTAGTTTTTTTCCCCCTTTAAAAAAAACAGATCATTACTCTTATTTTCGTCCTGAAATAAACACATAAAGGAATTCATTATAGCCTTCCAGTAAATGGTTTCTGTTATAGGCATTTTAAATATTTCCAAATGATCTTGTTGGATTAACATCAGTAAATTAAAAGAGCATTTCATCTTTATGGATTTAGAGTTTTCTCATGAAAGATGGTTTGAACAACCAAAGACTCCATTAAAAAGAATTCTAGCCATGTGATTTCTCTTAATAAGCCTTTTCCATTTCTAAATCTAGAGCTGCTACTGGAAGTGATTGTAACAATTTTGTGTATTAAGTCATACATTGTTTACAGAAAATAAAAGTAGAGATATTAGAATGAATTATGAATTTCTATTGTGTCTAATGCCTGATTCTATTATTCATAATTGCATAATTTATCCACTGTGCCAATTCTTTAGGTAACATTGTTTTTTCCTCTTCAATGTACACTTCTCTATTTTGCACACTTCCCCATTTTTCTACTTGAATAAATGTGCGTAATGCAGTATAGGCAAAGCTCCTACACAGAAGTTGGTTGAGTTCCAAAAATGTATTTGTTTGGAACTCAGAATGTTATGTTACGATATTTAGGAAACAAGACCAGCAGACAAAAGTCTATTTACCTCACAATATACCCTGTATAACCGAGCTATCAAACTTAGTCATCTTTTTTTATAGTCATTTCTATAAAAAGTCCTGCTTTCAAATTAACTGCAACCAACAAATACACTCTCACTGAAACCCTATAGCTTTGAGATCTGTGGCTTCGCACTGCTCCTGAGAAGTGGCAGGAGACTCCCACAGTTCTGAACGTGTGATTGCTGCGGCTGGGCCTGGCTGCAATGAAGGAGAGCAGGAGTTTGGGAAAAGAGTGACTTGGATATTCTGGGTGAGGGAATTAGAATGAAGATAGGAGGACAACATGAAGGGGTCCGGACTGAAGGAGGAGGAACGGAAGGGCAGCCCCCAGTGGGTTCCCTTCTCTTTCCTCTCTGTTTTTCACTTTCCAGCCCTTTCAGAATTCTCAGTAGTTTAGGGAAGGTGGAGAAGAGCAACGGCCTAAGTACTGTGCTAGGTGTAGGAGGTATCTCCCTCTTCTTGCTTCCTTCTCTGGTCCTCTCCTGCCCTGCAAGAATCCAGCCCCTGGGTGACTTTGCATCAGGTGAGAAGTGGGTGGGTGAGACTGAGCCTTGTGTGCAGAATGTGCTCTGTGTTGTTGAAGAGCCCTGAAGTTTGGTAGCAATGGGTCAAGGGGAGGGGATTCCTCTGTCACGCTCTCTGAGTCTCTGCGCAGATCTTAACTGTTACATGTGTGGTGTGGCTTTTCATTTAGGACACACAATAACTTCCGTGGGGTACTCTCCAACTCAAAAATTTTAGGTCTGGTTTTACCTATGTGGTGGAGTTAAATGAGTCTGATAAAAATTGGTAGTTTGACCAGGATTCATTTAAAGACCCTGGTACCTTGGTTAGATATATAATTTTCAAAGCAGGAAAAAAAAAAAAAAAAAGACAGATGTAGCAAAGTATAGGCATTATTGCTACAAGAGAAAGTTTAAGAAAAAAAAGATTATAATTCTCCCTTATTATTTCATCTGTTTTGGGATACTCAGAGGGCCTGCACTGTACTAAATGGGGCACACTCAGAATCAGTGCATATTAATTTTGTGCTGCTATAAAGGGTCAGATCAGAGCTGTGGTTTGAAAGGATTTGCACTTTAATTTGTTCATTTAATAGTCTGTGGCTAATTAACTGACTTGGTTAGAATTCAGCCCTGGAGAGCTTGAGGTCAAAGGTTCAGTTTCCCTGTGGACCAGTTTATCTTCTCTGTTTCATGGTCATTGATTGTACTCCTAATCCCTATTCAGGTGACTTGCAAAGTTATGTTATTGGTTAGGGAGGACTGGGTGTGAACGAATAAAAGCGAAGCCTTTACCAGAGCTAAATTATCGCATGTAGTTGGCAGGTCAGAATGGCATGCTAGTTTTAATCATGACGTTTGCTGTTGGAGGGGACCTAAATAAAAATCTTGGCTTTGTCACTTTACCTGACTACTTTAGGCAAAATGTTTCACTTCTCTAAGTTTTGGTTTCTTTGTCTACAAAATGAGGTTGATATGAGCCTCACAGGAAGTTATGAAGATTATGAAGGTTATAACGCTAGCTGTTGTACACAGGATGGAGTATGAGCCTTGCTTACACTGGTCCAGCTCCATTGGGTATGCTTTCCCCCATGCTCAGGACCTCTTCTCACTCCTTGTGCGCTTTGTAGATGGTGTCTGTTTGACCCCTGCACCCATCCTAGTTCATGCAACTGCTGTCTCCAGCTATAGACCAGGAGAGCTTGCCTGCGAGGGCAATTTGTTTAATTATTTCATTTATTTAATATCACCTCTAAACTCACGATCCTTCTGAGTGGTGGGAGTTATATAGCCTAAGGAGAGGGTGGAAATCTCAGAAATGTACACAAAAGATAAGACTCTGCTGGAGCATATTGCATCCATGGGCTTCAAGTTTTATCCGAATCTCCATATTTCTTCCACTTTATCAGGGCCTTCCAGTTAGTTCAAGTCCTATAGTCATTTTGAAGTTTGTCTCCTGAGTAACTACTCTCCTCATCCCCTCATTTGTAAATTTGCTCATCCCCTAGGAGAGGGTTGGAAGTAGGAGGTGCCATGAGGAACACTTGGCATACAAATTATAAATAATATCAATAAAAATATGAGGAAATGATGCCTTTTAATACTTCTTCTAAGATTATTAGCTTTTTTTGTGTGTGAAGAGAAAAATGTAAATGTGATGCTAATTATAAAGATCCATCTGTTACACTTAAAGTACCATAGAAAAAACGCCTACATTTGAAGCTCTTCTGCAGTACTTTGCCATCTTTGAAGACCCACTTTGGAGAGGTTGTTTCCATTTCATACAAACTTTTTTTTTTTTTTTTGTCTTTTTTCGTGTCCGGCAACGGATCGCAACCCTCAGTGTTGCGCCCGTACCTCGCTCAGCCAGTGAGCGGGAACCGGTCTGTATGTGGGATCCGAACCCTCGGCGGGAGCGCCGCCG